ATTGTATCTATTCTGGCTGAGCCTATTTCTGACTTTCAGACAACCAACTCCTTCCTAAGACTTCCACTACAAAAGCATTTGCTACTTAGCGTTCAGCCTTCCAGCCTTCTGACTTGGAACTCTCCGAGTGACATTTAAAAGGCTTCCTGATAGCATCTTCATTATCATGCCATGACTGTCACTAGATGACTCTTCACGTAGCACTGACATAAATCATTCCTTCTTTCTTCACTGCAAAATCTAAAAAAAGGATTTTTAAACTAGTTTTAACAATCAAAATAATCCTAGGGGCTAAAACCTTTTGCCAATGCCTAGTTTTTGCTCTCTTCCCACCCCTTTTAGAAGCCAAGGACCTGAGAGAGTTTGGACGCTGTGGGCTGAAGAAACGTCCTTTGCTCTTTCAGCCATCTCATTAACTACCCTGTTTGTCAAAAGAAGCAATCTCATGCCACTTGTTGTTGGTAGGTGCAGTTGAGTTGGTTCTGACTCATAGTGACCCTATGTGCAACAGAATGAAACACTGCCTGGTCCTGCCCCATCCTTACAATCATTGTTATGCTTCAGTCCATTGTTGCAGTCACTGTGTCAATCCATCTCGTTGACAATCTTCCTCTTTTTCGCTGACCCTCTACTTTACCAAGCATGATGTCCTTCTCCAGGGACTGGAGAAGTTGGTAAAAATCTCCAGTTTCTTCATCTTTGGCCTTAATAGTTGGTGCATAAATTTGAATAGTCGGATTAACTGGTCTTCCTTGTAGGCTCATAGGTATTATCCTATCACTGACAGTGCTGTACTTCAGGACAGATCCTGAAATGTTCTTTTTGACAATGAATGTGATGCCATTCCTCTTCAATTTGTCATTCCCAGCATAGCAGACCATATGATTGTCCGATTCAAAACGGCCACTAGCCCACTTCAGCTCACTAATACCTAAGATATTGATGTTTATGCGCTCCATTTCATTTTTGATGACTTCCAATTTTCCTAGATTCATACTTTGTACATTCCACATTCCAATTATTAATGGATGTTTGCAGCTGTTTCTTCTCATTTTGAGTCATGCCACATCAGTAAATGAAGGTCCCCAAAGCTTGACTCCGTCCACGCTACTCTGAGGAGGCAGCTCTTCCCCAGCTGTCTTCTGAGTGCCTTCCAACCTGAGGGGCTCATCTTTCAGCGCTATATCAGACAATGTTCGGCTGCTATTCATAAGGTTTTCACTGGCTAATTTTTTCAGAAGTAGACTGTCAGGTCCTTCTTCTAGTCTTAGTCTAGAAGCTTAGCTGAAACCTGTCCCCAGTGGGTGACCCTGCTGGTATTTGAAATACCAGTGGCATAGCTTCCAGCATCATAGCAACACGCAAGCTGCCACAGTATGACAAGCTGCCAGATGCATCATGCCACTTGGTCAGTTCCAGTTTAGAAAGCCCTAGGAGCCCAGTCCCCCTGATGCCTGTGGTTGGTGATTAAATTCAAGGGTTCAAGATGACGCCTTCATCCTCAGGTGCGGTGGACAGTAGGGGCTAAGCTGTTGGGTGAGTCTTTCTTGCAGTGTGGTGTCTCTCAGTGTCATAGCCTCAGGCAGACTGTGGATGCCTCTGACAAAAGGTTTGTCTTTGGAAAACTGGCAGATGCACCACTGGGGTGAGGGAGCTCACGGGGAAGGTAGAAAGCCCCGTGAAGAACTTAGTCATAGCTGACACACCAACCACAGTGCTTTGGAGGCATCCCCTAAAGCTCGGTGTTTCAGAGTCTGGCTGGTCTTGAGTGTTGATGGCCAGCACCAGCTGCCTAGCAGCAGACTGACGCTTCAGAGGAAGTGGGGCATTGCCACTCACTCAGTCACTGCCAGTCTGAGCGCTTGAGTGGGTGTGGACAGTACTGTCCCTGTGGTTGTGGCCCGTTACAGACAGGCTACAGTTAAAGTGCTAGCTCACAGCTCCTGGAGATTAGTCTCCCAGAGACCTTGTGGGAAGCTAGTTGGCAATGCCTGGACCAAGTCTTTCTGACAGCAGATCTATAAGATTTTTATTCTCTCGACTGGAGATACCTCCTGTCCCATGCTGAGGAGGGGCTCATTATGAAGTGACCCTTCATATTTACTTGTGCTTGGAGATGCTGATTTAACACTGAGCCTGAGTGTAGTCTGGCAGGTGTGACCCTTCCTCAAAAGGAAATCTCTTCTCAGGCTGACCCCATACTCTCTGTCCCTCAAGTCTGCTCCTGGGCCAAGTAAATGTCCTCACATCTCCCCCTCTCAAGGCTTTCCATAAACACACTTAGAAACAAGCTGCAGGCAATTCAAACGTCAGTGAGAATAATAACTGCAGTGAAGTGAAACACTTCAAATCTGTCTGAATCCATAAAATTTATAGTATTATAAACAACAAAGAAAATTAATTGGTCAACATCGGAGAATTATGATGTTATAAAAACTGGTGAAGAAGAGAAGAAACTGGGCACTCATCTTGCCTTTTCAACATGACTCGAAGGCGGATGAGAGGAAGGGTGAGGCCTCCCTGTCACAGTGCGGTACTTGGGGGCCCCAGACGTGCTCAGCCTGGTGCCTCACTCTGCTCACCCTCGCTGGCTTGGATCCATGGTACCCGTGTGGGTTCCAGCAGCCTTGTGCCAGCTCGAGTCGGCTACCTGCATGTCTTCCTAAACTTGTCGTCAGTGACATGCATGAGTAGCTCAAAATTAGCAAGGTGGGAGTATTTACACTGCAGAAAATGGTAAATGCTTCAAAGCAGCCCCCGACCTCCACCCCTAAGCCAGTAATTAAACACTCACCAGCCCACCCTGTCTACCACTGGGTAACCAGAGCATAGATGAGGGGAGGTCCTCTTTATAGAAAGGAAACTAACTATTCCAATTCTAGCTGATAGATGAAGAAAGAATGATAGAATGTCATCATTTTGGGACCCTAATGATTTAACAAAACTATACATTGAGCTTCCACAGTTGCTACCATCACAAAAGAGACAACCTGCCATTTCGCGCCTCCTGATGGAAAATACAACACTGCCACAGAGGAGTCTTGCTAAACGATTAGACCTGAATCTCATTAAATCTCCATACCTAACTGCTAATTTAAGCACACAGAAGACAGAGGACATGTTATAGGACACGGGGGTGGGGATGGGGGCTCAATTAGCAAAATCCAGACTATAAGTATCTTTTTAGGACAAACCACTCAATTTCTGCAACAAGTAAACTGCAAAGAGTTTAAAGGCAATCTATAAATTAAAAGACTCTTAAAAGACTATCAATCAATTGTAAAGTGTGAACATTATTTGGATCTTAATTCAAACATAAAACTGTAAAAACAAAATATTTATAATGATTATGTGGTGGTTAAAATTTGAACACTGATTAGATACTTGACGATATTACCGTACTGTAAAATTTTAGTTGTGAAAACTGTATTGTGGTTATGTTTTTCTTTTAAAAGGAAACACCTTTATCTTTTAAAGATACACATTGACATTGCAGCATTATTCACAATAGCCAAAAGGTGGAGACAACTCACATGTCCATCAACAGATGAATGAACAAAACGTGGTATTATCCACACAATGGAATGTTATTCAGCCATAAAGAGAAGTGATGTTCTGATACAGGCTACAACGTGGATGAACCTTAAAGATATCAAGCTACATGAAAGAAGCTCAACAAAAAAGGACACATATTGTATGATCCCGCTTATATGAAATATCTAGAACAGGCAAATGCATAGAGAGCAAAGTAAATCAGGGGCCACCAGGGGCGGATGGGAGGTGAAAGAGGAGCTACTGCTTAAGAGGTACTGAGATTCCAGTTTGGGGTGAGGAAAAACTTCTGGAAATAGTGGCGATGGCTGCACAACATGGTGAATGTAATTAATGCCACAAAATTGTACACTTAAAATAGCAAGTTTTATGTTACATATATTTACAATTCAAAAAAGCTAAAAACAGATCCCTACTGAAATACTTACAGATGAAAAGGTGTGATGTCTAGGATTTGCTTCAGGGTGAAGGGTGAAGTGGGAGAGAAATCAAGCAAGGCTGGTCTAAGGCTGGTAAGTGTTGAAGTTCATTATACTATTCAGTCTGCTTTTGTGCATATTTGAAATTTTCCATAATTAAGAATTTTTTAAAAACTCTAACAGTTACTCATATACAACCTTGATTACATGGCTCTTTTCTGAGTTCTGCATAAACAGAAAAGATTTCCTGGGCTTCTGGTTCCACAGGCAATTTGCCTTATTTCAAGCCTGGGTGTCGTGTGTACCTGTGTGTGTTAGTGTATTATGTGAGTGTTATGGGAGTGGGAGTGTGTATACATGTGCACGTGTGTGTACTGTATGAGTGGTGTGTGTGGTATATGTGTGCATGAGTGAATGTGTGCGCTCGTGTGTGGGGGCATTAAGTTTCTGTGATCAGAGCTGCTCTACAGATTTAATTTTTATAAAGCTAGTAAACAGACATAACGACAATTCCTTGCATTATTAATGTTTTGGTGCAAGCTTTGGAAGCACTCCCCCCAAATTAATGGAAAGAGTAAAAATAACAGAATGGCTTAAGAGAATAAAGCACCTATTCTTGTTTGAACATCTCTTGTTGTTAGGTGTTGTCAAGTCGATTCCGACTCATAGCAATCCAATGTGACAGAGTAGAACTGCCCCATAAGCTTTCCCAGGCTGTAATTTTTATAGAACCAGATTGCCAGTTCTTCTCTCCTGCAAAGACGGTGGGTGGGTTCTAACCACAACCTTTCAGTTAGCAGCGGGGCGTTTAACCATTGCACCATCAGGACTCCTTGTTTGAACATCTAAGACCCTGGCATTCAGGCATGTCTCCAGCAAGGTGTTCTGCAAACCTCAGTGCCCTCACACTGCATGACCCGCTCAGGACACTAGTCGGGTGGGACTGGCCTGTGCAGGTGCCAATTCACTGCAGCAACGTACCAGGGAGGAAAGAGCTACAAAAAGGACTTTTATTAAATGAAAGAAAGGTCTTCTTGGTGGGTCAAATATGAAACAGATATACAAACACTTTACATCTGATCTCTCAAAGACACAAAAAAATGCTCTCTAAGGCCACTGATGCCCCTCTTGATCATCAGCCCCAGAAGCGGGTCCTTGTGGCAGGTCGACCTGCAGCAAAGCTAAAAACTGAGCAGTTCTCAGGCCTATTGGCACACAGCCCCATGAAAACAGCGCAGCATGATGCATTGTCTGAGCGGCGTGGGGCATCACCAGGCCTGTGCACACGATTCTCAGCATTTATACATGTTTCATTTAAAAATCCTTTAATACCCCAATAGCTTTAGTTGTGAAAAAAAGCCAAAAGATTATCGGGTTCTTGCTATATCATTCTTTATGTCTTGTCTGATCCCCCCAAATTCCTTACTCTAAATAATATGCTGTGGTATTTAAAGGGAAACCCCTGCCCCCCCCCAAAAAAAAACCACCTCACTACCTGATGACAAGTCACAAGGCTCAGCCCCCCACGGGAGCTCACAGCGTTTACAGTGTCTTTGGCATAGAGCACACCAACTCCCCTTTAATACTCCTGTCACTTAAAAAAGTATACTTTCCTGTAGTAAAATGTCTTAAAAACACCTATTTCTGTAAAATAATGTGTTTCTGTATGAATATACGTGTCTTTCTGGGTGAACAGGAACCCATGTTGAGGTGGGCCGGGATGAGGAACAGGACTCATGTCCCACCCCTGCTGGTCACATGAAGTCACTCAGCTCGGCCTCCAGGGCTGCGGCCATCTCGTCGGCCTCCGAGCTGCTGCCCTCCTCGTCTTCATTGCTGGACTCCTTGCTGGAGTCGCTGGCCACGTCGTCTTCGTTCAGCTTCCTCTTGTGGCCCCTACGAGAGAAGCAGACATGAGCGCTCATTGTGGACGTGTGTGGGTGTGACCTGCTGTGCAGGCTCGGCCTCAGTGCCAAGGCGCATATGGCCATCATGGCCATGCCACCGTGCCCCCACCGCTGAAACACTTGGGGTGGATGTGCATGGGTGTGATGCAGGGTCCAACATCAGTGCAAGGGCACACGGCTGTCACGGCCACGCCACCACCTACCCTGCCCAGAAAACGAATGACTTCTGTACATTTCACTAGTAAACAACTGTTACTGAAACACAGGGCCCAGCTTGTTTCTGAACTTTTGACTCAGGGGTCCAGGGGAAGGCACCGCACTCAGGAGCCCCCCTGCTCCCGCAGGGGGTCCTGGAAGTTGAGAGAGGACGGTGGTGTGCCCACAGGGATGGACTCCTGGTGGTGAGGACTAATCCCAGTCCTTGGTGGTCCTACAGCTCTGCAGCAGAGGACGGGAAGAGCTTTACCAGGAATGAGGCAAACCTTCACTCCTCATTAGATGATGTTTGGGGCATGGTGTTTTTAAATACAACACATGACTAAAGATTAGTAATTAAAAATTATCTCAAAAATTGGAAACAGACAGCTGCAAGTCACACTATGAACACTGTCACTGGTGCCAGCTTCATCTCCTCTTAGCACGACATGCAATATTTACATTTTATCTTTATACCAACTGCACAGCACAACGGAGAAGTGCCAACAGATTTAATTCTGAAAGAACTTAAAGCTTGAAAAATTATCCCAAATTCAATGTGGATAAGGCAAGAGCACAGAGAAGAGGAAGCACGTCACTGTATCCTCTGTGATGTTCTGGTTCTCTGGGTACACTGCTGCCATGTGCACACAGATGTGGGCCTGGCACGTGCTACCTTCATGACGATGCAGTAAACACACATCATGACTCCATGACACAGCATACAACCCCATGAGAAGCAAACAATCTGTAGAGCATGCATTTTTCAAATTGCTAGTTTCAATCAGCTTGGTTTTTTTGGCAGAGAGAAAACAGGCACCATCAGCACTGCCCATGGGGTGGGCATCGTTTTGTTTAACATGATTTGTTTCAGCTGTGAGTATGAGGGCTGGGTTTTTTAAGTGCTGACAAGGTGGGCTGTTCCTCAAGGACACTTCTTCATAGGCAAGCGTGGTGGATGGCACACAGGGCTCTTCTCATCAGTGGAGTCCAGCAGGGCCTGTCGGGAACTGGCACTTGGGCCACACTGGGGGAGCTGGCCCTGAGGCGGTGCTTTAATCTGCAGATTGGGGCTGGGCTCGGCCAGTCAACCCAATGACTGAGCAGGCCTGTAGGGGGACAGAGCTTGTCCTCAAGTGCACTCTACTGACTTCAAGTCACTCCCGGGCACCCCACCCACTGTGCGGCTCTGCCGCCTCCTTTGTCAGAAGTGCAGGGACCAGGATTCAGGGTCCAGGCCCAACCATGTTCCAGCTCAGGCAGGCTGAAGCTCATAACCCCTCCTTGGCAACTCTACAATGGGGAAGTGTTTGTATCATTATAATAAATTTGAGTTAAACAAGAAACACCTTTATAAAATCAGGCTAAGTTAGAGGCATAATCACTTGAAAATATGGAATTCCCCAGGACAGGATTTGAGCATGGCTTCACATATCCTGGCCCACACTTTTCTCTCTGAAGAACCACCACCTTCTTTCTGCCTTTTTTTTCTTAGTCAGTGTAGCTAAAGGTTTGTCAATTTTGTTGATCTTTTCAAAGAACCCACTTTTGGTTTCATTGATCTTCTCTATTTCATTAGTTGCTGCTCTAGTCTTCCTTATGCTTGCTTTAGGTTTAGTTTGCTCTTGTTTTTCCAGCATCTTTAGGTGGAAGTTTAGGTTACTGATTTGAGAACTTTCTTATTTTTTTAATATAGGTGTTTATAGCTACAAATGTCCCTCTAAGAACTGCTTTAGGTGTACCCCAAGAGTTTTGCTATGTTATCTCTTCATTTTCATCTGTATCAAAGTATTGTCTAATTTCTCTTGAGATTTCTTCTCTGACTCACTGGTTATTTAGGTGAAGGTTTACAGAACAAATAGTTTCTCATTACACAGTCAGTATGCATATTGTTTTATGACATTGGTTAACAACTCAACGACATGTCAACACTGTCCTTTCTCAAACTTAGGTTCCCTATCACCAGCTTTCCTGTCCCCTCCTGCATTCTAGTCCTTGTCCCTGGACTGCTGTGCCTCATTAGTCCTGTTTTGTTTTATGGGGCTATCCAATCCCCAGCTGAATGGTGAACCTCGGAAGCAACTTCACCACTGAGCTAAAAGGGTGTCTGGGGGCCATACTCTTGGGGTTTCTTCAGTTTCTGTCAGGCCAGTAAATCTGGTCTTTTTCTGTGCATTAGAATTTTGTTCTACATCCTTCTCCAGCTCTGTCCAGGACGCTCTTTTGTGATCCCGGTCAGAGCAGTCACTGGTGGTAGCTGGGCACTATCTAGCTGTACTGGACTTAGTCTGGTTGTAGGTCTTGGTAGCTGTGGTCCATTAGTCCTTTGCACTAATCTTTTCCTTGTATCCTGTTGTTTTCATTCTCCCTTGCTCCCGAAGGGGTGAGACCAGTAGAGTATCTTAGATGGCTGCTCACAGGCTTTTAAGATCCCAGATGCCACTCACCAAGGTAGAATGCAGAACACTATAAACTGTGTTATGCCAACTGAGTTAGATGTTCCCCGAAAGCATGGTCCCCACAGCCCTCCACCCAGCAATTCAGTCCCTCAGGGAGTTTGGATGTGTCTATGGAATTTCCATGACCTTTCCTCGTACAAGCTATACTGACTTCCCCAGTATTGTGTACTGTCTTACCCTTCACCAAAGTTACCACTTATCTATTGCCTACTTAGTACTCCCCCCCCACCCCTCCCATCCCTTGTAACAAAGATGGCTACTTTTTGTGTGTAAACTTTCTCATGAATTTTTACAGAAGACATCTCATACAATATTTGTCCTTTTGTGACTGACTTATTTCACTCAGCATAATGTCCTCCAGTTTCATCCATGTTATAAAATGCTTCACAGATTCATCATTGTTCTTTATCGTTGCATAATACTCCATTGTGTGCATGTACCATAGTTTGTTTATCCATTCATCTGTTGATGGGCATCTAGGTTGTTTCCATCTTTTTCCTATTGTGAACAATGCTGCAATGAACATGGGTGTGCATATGTCTATTCATGTGATGGCTCTTATTTCTCTAGAATATATTCCTAGAAGTGGGATTGCTGGATCATGTGGTATTTCTATTTCTAGCTTTCTAAGGAAGCGTCGTATCATTTTCCAAAATGGCTGTATCATTATGCATTCCCACCAGCAATGCATAAGAGTTCTGATCTCCCTGCAGCCTCTCCAACATTTGTTATTTGTTATTTCCAGTGTTTTTACAAAAACACTGTGCTGACTTTTTTTGTTCCTCTTACTCTCCTACACTGAATTCCTTTTATTTGTGGATTTTTTT